ACGTGTAGCAGAAGATGCTTGAAAGCTGATGGTTACCATTCTGCTATTTGATGAACATATACATCTACAGTTTGATAACAGGTCAGAGGTTGCCGTAAATATCCTCGCCGCTGCAGCTTTGGCTAGGAAAGAAACCCCGTCATCCAGAGAGAGAGAGAGAAAGCATGGTATAACGTGCTAATAGTGACATAAAAAATGTTATTTTTTTGGTTGAAAATAATTCCAAATACTGAACTATTGGAAGAAAAAATATTCTATTTAAGAAGAAACATTCCTGTCATATAAGAAATAAAATGTTAACCTTGTTCAGTTGTGTTTTGCAATTCATGTCTATAAAATTTAGTAAAGTCTAAAGAATGAATTCATAATCTGTGAAGTGTTTGTTGTGGCATCTTTCTTTTGATATTGGAAGAATTTATGGCCGTTTGACGAAAAACAATCAACATTCACAAGAACCAATCTTTGCTCAAAAAGAACCGGTTAACAAGATGGCCAAAAGAAAAACAAACTCATGTTGATCCCGACGTGGCAGGCAGTGTTAATAACAATGTTGCATATATATATATATATATATATATATATATATTTATATATATATATGTGTGTGTGTGTGTGTGTCTGCGTGTGCGCGCGTGTGTGTGTATGTATGTATATGTATATATATATATATATATAAATATATCTATGCATGAAATAATATATATAATTTTTTATATATTATTCATTTACCTAATATATATATACATATGTGTGTGTGTTTCTGGTTGTGTGTGTGTGTGTGTGTGTGTGTGTTGTGTGTGTGTGTGTGTTTGTCAATTCAAACATTATTATAGTGATAATTTCTGATAGAAATAGATGCCACATATATAATAACTTTTTGAAGTAATAAAACGTCGGAATAAAAGAAATCCATTAATCCTTTATATATATATATATATATATATATATATATATATATATATATATATATATATATATATATATCGGCTATAAAAGTAAAATTGTTTAAATCGTCAAATCGTGTTACAGCAAAGTGTTTAATATCTAAAAATAACACTAAGTTTCTTTTTACATGTTTTCTCTTGATAGCTTCTCTCATAATTGCGGCCTTGGGGAACATCTAGACTACGCTTTGTAAATCCATATCTCCATCTGTCTCTCTCTCTCTCTCTCTATTTATATATATATATATATATATGTGTGTGTGTGTGTGATTACCTATGTGTATGTTTGTTTAATTATACTCGCTAATAAATACTTAACAAGAAAATAGTAAAAACAATCAAAGATAATTAACCATTTCAATGCATAACTTGTTAGTAACGCGGCTCAACTAGTATATCCTAAATTAAAACCCAAATAATCGACGCACAATAATTCACACTAATCCGACTGGATAATTCCACTCAATAGTCCCTCAATAATCCCCCCAAAATTTGAATATAGCATACTGTTTACATTGTTTTTCTCAATTTTGTCCCTTACTTTTGGACGATCCTATTTGGAAAATAAATACATAATTGTTATAATTCTTTTTCTTTCCTTTGCAAATGATTCAAATTTTTAGTATGTTATTATGGATGATAACGACTACCAGTTGTCAAAATTTCAGCTTTTCACAGTTGTTATTTCTAACAAATATTAGGTTTTAAAATTTTGTCCCTTAGTTTTGGACGCTACTGTATATATATATATATATATATATATATATATATATATATATTTATATATTTTAAAGACATATTTTTGTTTATATTTTTTTAGATACAAATATTTAAGTAAATGCTCTGTTTATAATAAACAGTATTAAAAGAACATTTACCGGCCTGAATGTCCGAGAAATTTTCGCAGAAAATATTCGTCCTCCGAATATGAAATTTCCCTCTGTGAAAATTTCTTGGACATTCAGGCCGGTAAATGTTATTTAATACTGTTTATTAGAAACAGAGAATTTACTTAAATATTTGTATCTATAAAAGAATGTATAAACATAAAAATGTCTTAAAATAATTGTCAGGCTTGTCCATTTCATTATATATATATATATATATATATATATATATATATATATATATATATATATATATATATAGTGACTCTCTGCTCGTCAGGCAAGAATGATCAGCGCTGACTGAATCTCTAATCAGGTATCTAGCCTGGTATCGACGGTGTTAATTGAGGAAAGCAATGGGCTTACATTCTTTAGCGTATACATGACATACTATCTCGGTGTGATTCTTTTGAAGTCCCGACTCTACAAACGGCCTGTTTTTCTTTAACTCAAATGTCTTGTATAACTCGAGAGGCTCTTACAATCTTTGCCACAGTTATATAATATAAAAGTTTCTGTATTGTTGACATTATTATATTCCTTTGCTGTGACATCAACATGCAGCTGGCTTGGAAGGCTTTCATTTGATAAGCATATTATTCCTCACACGAACTATGGGACATTTGAGTCTACCTCCTCCCATTTAAGGTATGCCCTTTTGGTCTCTGTCCAAGTTATCGAGTAGAATGATCGGTAGCCTTCAGTCTTATATTTCTTTCAATGGGTTCTATCACAAGTCAGCCGTTTCCAATTAGAACTGTCTATATCAAAACGTGTCAGTTACTCACACGTTAGTGCTGAAAGGTATTCTAATATTTCGTCTCTGAAATTCTGAAATACGGATTTGGGGTAAAGGGTAAGGCTGAGGTAGGCTCGGTGTACATCTTTCCATCAATTCTTTACCGGTTGTCAGTACTTCCTCTCAGCGAGAAATAAATGAAGCTGATCGAGCGCTTGTTGTTCTACCTATTATGGGGAAGATGCAAGCCGAAAGTCTGCAGAGAATTTGGTGTCCAAGTCCGTGTCATAAGAATCCCACAATTGGAGTGTCATCAACACGCCATGAAATTGGTTTTCCTACACTGAGCGTTGCCAAAAGATTGGGCAACCTTCCCTAGCCTTACATTCACTTCTCTCAGTTCTGAGGCTGAATGCCCTCGTAATCCTCAGAAACTGTCCGAATTCTTCGACAAGTGTCTAAAGGTCTTAAGAGCCGTGGTCTAGGAGGACGTTGTAGCGGGGACTAGTGGAGGAGGTCCGAAATGGACCCACACTGTGAGCGGCTCGGCTTGTCGGTCATGTGTACTGGGCGCCAGCGGCGAATTACCTCAGTAAACCTGAGTTTTCGCTTATGATTAACCCGGAACGCGCTATCTCTCAATGACGACGAATTCCGAATGGACTGGGCATATATGCTCGACTGTCATCGTGTGACCTTGGTTTGAATGAAACAACTACGCACGCCTTCCATCGCCGTTATCAGGTGTTCCTGTTTTGGGATCATGTCGGTGAGTTGACGGCTTGTATCGATTTTGGAATCACTGATCTCGCATACGCGTGAGATAATATGTCACCGCCGAGTTCTGGGGTGAGACGGAGAGTATTTCTGATGCTGCTAGCCGTGACAAGGATGGTGGTGTGGACGAATGTTATTCTCATCAGGATCTGGTTGAATTCTTTTGGCATCAGGTCAAAAGGAAGATCAGAACTGTCAGAAAGCGTTTGTTATCGGCAGATTTCAACGAAAGATGGGTAAAAACGCCGAGCTTATTGTGTGTGAACGGGGCCAGTTTTGATTTTTTTTTGTCTCGTTTTGACACAATAGGGTGGTTTCCTGATGGGCCCCTCCCCTAGTTAAGCTAGACCCTTTTGTTTATCTAGTTAATATGAGTAATTCTTGCTCCCGTCATTCTCTATCGTTATGATGCATGTCAAGATTCTTAATTTGTTTTTGTTTCCATCCACTGTTTTTTTTATTATCTTGACTGGAACTGCCTATACTAATTCTTATGTATGTAATTTATTTTGCTTCTTCCCTGACCCTAGTGAGTGAGTTGCTTGATTCTGCTTAATGGCAGAATACAGTGGGCTTCTTATTTTTCTGTGGATTTGACGGGTCCTACTAACATATTTTAATCTTATTTTGAATTATATATTTTTATAAAAAACAAAACCAAAAAAAAAAAACAATTGTATATATTTTCATGTAATCCCTGTTTTAGTAGGATCCCTATCAGTGTGCGGTATTATGGTATGTGTTGGATTGAAAGGTGATAAATTAGTTCTTGTGGCATATGAGTAAATTGTAATGAATGAATCGGTCATGAACCAGATTAAGTGTAGGACAGTGATGACCAGCTTTTCCCAACCACACGTTTAACCTTTTGGCAAGAATTGAACTGACAACTCTTTGAGAAGTCTCCTTGATAAAAGTGTTGTCTGAATCTAGTTACTTGAGCCAAAGAGTTGTGAGAAGTGGTATGACACGTATAATTAGAACAGTCTACCCCGGTGGAAGAAATAAAGGGTTCAGTTCGAAATTCCAATAATCTGAAGGTCAAATGACACAACAGCCGAAACATTTTGAATATGGAAATAAAGACGAGGACAACAGTAAATGATATCTCTCTTTTTAGCAAAATCAAACAAGATCTATGGAAACGCATATATTAATAAAACATGTCTATGAATATCTTACCCTGTTTTAAGATTGAAACGACCAATCAGCTTCGACTTGACAAATAATTAATTTGTTAGTCTATCTTTATATTCTATGCGTTTTCTGAGGTCTTCTTAAATCCAACAATAGATCTTTCTTTTAATCATTCTAGGATATTTCTGTGTAATTGTTAGATAGATGAATTACTACCTATGCCTATTATTAGTACAGACATCTTCCTCCTATTGTTCCAAGTGTACATAAAAATATATTTCTATGATAACGCAAGGCATTAGCTATTTGTTGGCGTTCGCAGTATATTTGATCGGACGAAATCATCTGCGAAATTTGCATCGCAGCCTGTGACAATCATAAATTAATGGCGGGAATGCAGCATCGACAACGCATAACGAAATCGACGTTTCAATGAACCAAATAGAAAAGCTCTGTCTTAATATCAAACAGATGTAAAACATTCGGAAAATATCCAAAAGTATAAACATTATTTAGAATTAACTTCGTTCGTTCGTTCGTTCTGTTCTTTCTTTCTTTCTTTCTTTCTTTCTTTCTTTCTTTCTTTGAACACGTTTCTTTCTCTCTGTTCGTATCTATTTATCTCAGTCATTTCTCCTCTCTTTCTCTTTATGTCCATGCGTTAGTCTATCTCAGCCCAATATTAACCGCTCTTTTCTCAGTCTTTTCTTCGCTCTTTCTCCGCCACCCCATATCCTTTTTCTTGTACTCGTGAATGCTGAAAAGTTCCCGGCCGCACCCTTCTTCACAAAATCAATATTCTAATCTCTCTGTTGATCTATCTATATCCCTCTCTCAAACTCAGTCTGGCCACATGTCAGACTCTCTTCCTCTCTCTTAATATCTATATAGTGATTTTCCAAGCGTAGCTTTGATGTGACACAAGCCTGATAGAAGGCACCCAGTGAGGATCAAACTCACTACTCAGTCGTAATTGTTTTGACGAGACAAGCTTGCTAAGAGGGGCACCGTCTCGAGGTGCCCCTCTTAATATCTATAAATGTTTCTATATATATATATCAGGTTGTTCATTCCTCTTTCTCCCTCAATATTTTCCAGTCACCCCTTTTCTCTCGCCTTCTATCTATCTATCTATCTATCTATCTATCTATCTATCTAGCTATTCTCTTTCTTCCTTTATTTCAGGCTTACGTACATATCATGTTCAGACATTGGCCCCCATACGATCACCGAAGTTAAACAACGTCAAGTGTGGTCAATACCTAAATGGGTGACTGTTTGGGAATACCAGGAGCTGTAACTTATATCTGCGTGTGGCGTAATGGTTAACGCCTTCGAATGGGAAATCATAGAGCAGAGTTTCAATTTCAGTCGGGTTTGTTCTGTTCACCATTTGGAAAGGTATGAATCTACTTCTTCTCCCAACAGCTTCAGATTACTTAGTAGGACTTGTATCTGTAAAATCATTATTATTTCCAAAAATATTCTTATAATCTAAAAATATTCTCTATCTTTAAAGTAATCGACAAAAAGTTGATAAGCCGTAAAAAAACCCCAATTAATCAAACCCTATATTTCAGGTTTGTCTTAAGAGTTAGTAATGAAATATTATTAGCCCGATTAATTATCTATCTATATTCTGCTAATATCTATCTATCTATCTATCTATCTATCTATCTATCTATCTATCTATCTATCTGTTTCTGCCAATATCTATCTATCTATCTATTTTCTGCTAATATCTATCTATCTATCTATCTATCTATCTATCTGTTTCTGCCAATATCTATCTATCTATCTATCTATCTATCTATCTATTTTCTGCTAATATCTATCTATCTATCTATCTATCTATCTATCTATCTAGCTAGCTAGCTAGCTAGCTAGCTAGCTCATAGCTATGTATCTAACACCATATCTTTCTCACTATAGCTTTATCGCTCTATATTTCTGTCTGCTCATAGGACTGAGTGCTGGAAATTTCGCGGCCAGGTCCATTTCATAAAATCAGGATTTTGATCTTTGGTCACTCAATCCTGTTACAGTTTTTTGGACACATGTATGTACTAGTGAGCCAACCAAAATGAGCGGACTCATTTTATAGTCCACCAAGAGAAGGGTTAACCAATCAGAATGCTCAAAATATTAAATCCGACGTGTATAAAGGCAGCCATTTTGTTTTTTCTCCCAAAATATCTTCACTGCCAACCTCTGATATCGAAGACTTAAACAATTACTTAACAGCCGCTACTTTCTCTGAATCTTCATTGCCAACCTCTGATATTGAACACATTACGGATTTCACTGGATTCCATATTCAGAGACTACGACAAACATGGTCAACAAATCCTCCTAGCTCTATGTCTGTTTATGTCAACCTGATCTCCCCTCTTTCTGTTCGCATCTGTATATCAAACACATCTTATTCATCCCCATTTCACTCTCTCTCTCTCTTTCTCTATGTTAATCTATATCTACCTGTTCATCACCCTCTATCTCTCTCTCTATCTGAATATCTGCTCATATCTATCTATCTATCTATCTATCTATCTATCTATCTATCTATCTATCTATCTATCCGTGTGTTTGTATGTTTTGTGTGTGCAGGTGTGGAATGTGTTTTTGAATGTGTATGTGTAATCATACACGGAAGCCCGGTGGAGTAATGGATAGCGGCTCGGATTGAGGAATCGGAGAGACGAGTTCGAATTCCAATTCGAGTTCGAATTCCATTACATTCACTTACGTGCTAATACCCTTGGGAAAGGTATGGATCCTCTTCTTCTCCCACCCCATGTGTAAATAGCAGCCTTGGATGTCAACTGACCTACCACAGAAAGAAATGGCAACCTACTGCGGGAAAAAATCTGCCTCGTCAGTCATGTATCAAAAGTTACATGATTGCCTAAGGGTGTATCACGCATGGCACATAACTGACTAATTCCTTGTATATATGCCGAGTTCGAATTCTATTCGAATCCATTACATTTAATTACGTGCTAATAGCCTTGGGAGAGGTATTAATCCTCTTCTTTCACCCCAGCTATGGGTAAATAGCAAGAGAGACCGGGTTCTATAACCTTGGATGGTAACAAGTCTACCGCAAGAAGAAATGGCAACCTACTGCGAAAAATCTGCCTCGTCAGTCATGTATCGAAAGATACATGATCGCCTAACCCTGTATTACGTATATCACATAACTGACTGATGTGTAACTATAAATCGAACTCATAAGCAATGGCTTACGAGATTGTTTTGTTAACCATCACTCTATGAGATTTGCCGACGAATTTAATGTAAAGGGGAGTCCTTGGTAACGACTCTAATCATATTATGCTTCTCTCTTCGCATTTTGGGTTAGCAACGTGAAGCATTTCTAAATGTAGCCCAGCACAAAAAATCAATTAACATATTTCTTTACACTTTCGATTTTTAAATCCATTAACGGCTATTTGGTCTTCTTTTTTTCGTTTCTCAAACTTTCTCGTTACATCGTTGGGAGCTTTCTCTTTCAAAACCATTTGTCTTTCCTTTCTATTTTCTTTAAAACCTCTTCGCCGATTCACATTTTATTAAGATACTTTCAGTTTTTCCCCACTTTGCGATTCGTTTTTTTTTTTCCAGGTCTAAACATTCTTTTCCTTAAGTATTACTTTCCCGCTCTTTTTATTTTATTACATCTCATTCTTTTAGGCTGAATCCTTTCGTATTATCTTTAACATTTAGCGCTCTGTATATAGGTATCTTCAGTTGTCAGAGAAAATGTTTGCACAGCCATTGCATGTAACTCTTATTATCGGACAATAGTGTGGTTGAATTTTGCTCTCCTTTTCTATCTATCTATCTATCTATCTATCTATCTATCTATCTATCTATATATATCTATTTCAGCCTATTCATCATCCTCTATCCCACACATTATCCGCTCATGTCTCTCTGTCTGTCTGTCTGTCTATCTCTCTCTCTCTCTATATATATATATATATGTATATATATATATATATATATATATATACATATATATATATATATATATATATATATATATATATAAATGAACATTGAAGTTCAACACTCAGAGGCAAGTTTCTTGAAAATGAAATCGTCAAGCTGCTTGCTCTATACATACCATTTATCTCTGATATTGAGCACTTTATCCCATAAATACACAACACCGTAAAACTATATTTCTTCATATATATATATATATATATATATATATATATATATATCATATGTTCAAAACCCTCTTTCTCTCACATATTACCCGAATCATTATCTATCTATCTATATATATATATATATATATATATATATATATATATATATATATATATAAATATTTATCACCACCAGGATTTTCTCTACAAATTACCCGGTTTAATTATCTATCTATCTATCTATCTATCTATCTATCTATCTCTCTCTCTCTCTCTCTCTATATATATATATATATATATATATATATATATATATATATATATATATATATATCAAATTTTCATCAAATATCTCTCTCCCACAATGTACATACTTTTCTTTCTTTCTTTCTGTCTGTGTATATACTTTTTCTTTCACATTTTTCCTTTGATTATATATTCTTATTTCTTTCTTTTTTCTTTCTTTCTTTCTTTCTTGGTATAATCTTTTTGTTTCTTATTCTTTCTTTTCATTATGTATTCCTCATTTTTTTTTCTTTCTATCGTTGTATATTCTTCTTTGTCATTCTTTCTTTTCATTATATATTCTTATTTTTTCTTTCTTTCTTGGTATATACTTTTTTGTTTCTCATTCTATATATATATATATATTCTTCTTTCATTCTTCCTTGGAATAATCTTTTTGATTCTCATTCTTTCTTTTCATTATATATTCTTCTTTCTTTCTTTATTTCTTTCTTTCTATCATTCTTTCTTTGTATATACTTTTTCTTCCTCATTTTTCGTTTCATTATATATTCTTCTTCCTTTCTTGGTATAATCATTTTGTTTCTTATTCTTTTTTATTATGTATTCCTTTCTTTCTTTCTTTTTTTGTATATTTTTCTTCTTTCTCATTCTTTCTTTAAATTATATATTCTCCTTTTTTTTCTTTCTTTCTTTCTTTCTTTGAATATTCTTTTTCGTTTACATTCTTTCTCCTCATTTTCTATAATATTTCTTGTCATGGCTTACAGTCACATCACATTGATAAACCGGTTCCAGTACAATCTCCAAAGTAAAGCAAGTACTTAGAGGGTTAACAACTTGGCAATAACAGATTCTGTAGGGTTGGGTGTTCAGGTTTTCTAATGAATAATGGTTTGGAATTTGTAATCAAAGAGCCGAGTTCAAATTCCAGTTTTCTTTGTTATATTCACTCTCGCGCAAATACTTTTCTTTTGCCAGTTTAGGGGTTAATTAGTAAATAGTCGTGGGTTTGCCTCGACACTTTATCCGGTATCAAGACCACTGATCGGGAGATTAGAGATTTTGATGAGTCTGGAGCTAGCTTTTAATTGCTGTTGTTTTCAAGTCCACTCTTACCCGTGGTGTTATCCTCTGTTACGGACCCAGCTATGGACAAATAATGAACCTCCAAACAAAAGCAAAACAATATGAAAATATAAAAATACATTTTTTCCAGTAAAAACATTTTAATATTTATATTTTCCAGCGAACAATATATATGTATTCATTGGTTTTTAAATGACATTGAAATAAATGCAATACATAAATGCCAACAATACATCTTTTAAATTCATTTTAGAAATGACCATTCAAGCAATAATCAATTTATACATTTTATAGCAAAATGATCAACAATGCATTTTATAGCAAAATGATAACAATACATTTTATATTTGATTGAAATGAATGACAATGCATTTTATAACAAAATGATCAACAATACATTTTATAGTGAAATGATCAACAATACATTTTATAAAAAATGATCAACAATACATTTTATAGCAAAATGACCAACAATACATTTTATAGCAAAATGACCAACAATACATTTTATAGCAAAATGACCAACAATACATTTTATAGCAAAATGACCAACAATACATTTTATATTTAAAATGATCAACAATACATTTTTATAGCAAAAATGATCAACAATACATTTTTATAACAAAATGATTGACAATACATTTTTATAAAATGAACCAAATGATTTTATAAAAAAAATGATCATTTTTATAGCAAAAATGACCAACAATACATTTTATAGCAAAATGATCAACAATACATTTTATAGCAAAATACCAACAATAATTTTATAGCAAAATGATCAACAATACATTTTATAGTTAAATGACTAACAATACATTTTATAGCAAAATGATAACAATACATTTTATAATAAAATGATCAACAATACATTTTATAAAAATAAAATGATTTTATACAATATCAACAATTTTTTATAGCAAAATGATCAACAATACATTTTATAGCAAAATGACCAACAATACATTTTTATAAAATGATGAACAATCAATACATTTTATAGTAGCAAAATGACAATAGCAAAATACAATTTTTATAGCAAAATGACCAACAATACATTTTTATAGCAAAATGACCAACAATACATTTTATAGCAAAATGACCAACAATACATTTTATAGCAAAATGACCAACAATACATTTTATAGCAAAATGATCAACAAATTTTATAGTAAAATGACAACAATACATTTTATATTTAAATGATCAAAATACATTTTATAAAAAATGATTTTTTTATAGCAAAATGACCAACAATACATTTTATAGCAAAATGATCAACAATACATTTTATAGCAAAAATGACCAACAATACATTTTATAGCAAAATGACCAACAATACATTTTATAGCAAAATGACCAACAATACATTTTATAGCAAAATGATCAAATGACCAATACATTTTATAGCAAAATGACCAACAATACATTTTTTATAGCAAAATGACCAACAATATTTTTTAGCATAATGACAAAATGATTTTAACAAAATGACCAACAATATATTTTATAGTAAAATGACCAACAATACATTTTATAGCAAAATGACCAACAATACATTTTATAGCAAAATGACCAACAATACATTTTATAGCAAAATGACCAACAATACATTTTATAGTAAAATGACCAACAATACATTTTATAGCAAAATGACCAACAATACATTTTATAGCAAAATATTTTATACATTTTATAATAAAATTTATATAAATAATAATACATTTTTATAGCAAAATGACCAATACATTTTATATAAAATGACAACAATTTTTATAGTAAAATGATTGACAATACATTTTTTATAGCAAAATGATCAACAATACATTTTATAGTAAAATGACCAACAATACATTTTATAGCAAAATGACCAACAATACATTTTATAGCAAAATGACCAACAATACATTTTAGCATAATGACCAAAATGATTTTATAGCAAAATACAATATTTTTATAGTAAAATGACCAACAATACATTTTATAGCAAAATGACCAACAATACATTTTATAGTAAAATGATTAACAATACATTTTATAGCAAAATGACCAACAATACATTTTATAGTAAAATGACCAACAATACATTTTATAGTAAAATGACCAACAATACATTTATATAAAATGCAAAATAATTTTTATAGTTAATGATACATTTTTATAGCAAAATGATTGCATTTTATAGCAAAATGATCCAACAATACATTTTATAAATTTTATGACAATACATTTTATAGTAAAATGACCAATATACATTTTATAGCAAAATGATCAAAATTTTATAGCAAAATGATCAACAATACATTTTATAGTAAAATGACCAACAATACATTTTATAGTAAAATGACCAACAATACATTTTATAGCAAAATGACCAACAATACATTTTATAGTAAAATGATCAACAATACATTTTATAAAAAATGACCAACAATACATTTTTATAGTAAAATGACCAACAATACATTTTATAGCAAAATGATCAACAATACATTTTATAGTAAAATGACTGAACAATACATTTTATAGCAAAAAATGACCAACAATACATTTTATAGTAAAATGACCAACAATACATTTTATAATGAAAATGACCAACAATACATTTTATAGTAAAATGATCAACAATACATTTTATAGTTTAATGACCAACAATACATTTTATAGCAAAATGACCAAACAATATTTTTATAGCAAAATGACCAACAATACATTTTTATAGTAAAATGATCAACAATACATTTTATAGCAAAATGATCAACAATAATTTTATAGCAAAATGACCAACAATAATTTTATAGCAAAATGATTAACAATACATTTTATATTGTGATCAAAAAATTTAAAATACCAACAATTTAATTTACATTTTGTTTTATAGAAAATGATCAAAATACATTTATAGCAAAATGATAACAATATATTTTATAATGATCAATACATTTTATAGTAAAATGAATCAATACATTTTATAGCAAAATGATCAACAATACATTTTATAGCAAAAATGATTGACAATACATTTTATATAAATGATCAAAATGCATATTATAGCAAAATGATCAAAATTTATTTTATAGCAAAATGACTGACAATGCATTTTATAAAAAATGACCAACAATACATTTTTATAGTTTATTGACAATACATTTTATAGCAAAATGAAAACAATACATTTTATAGCAAAATTTATACATTTTATTGTTAAATGACCAACAATGCATTTTATTAAAATAGCAAAATGATTTGAATACATTTATAGCAAAATGATATTTTTATAAAAATGAACAATAATTTTATAGCAAAATTTTCAAATTTTTTAATGAAAATTAAATAATACATTTTATAGCAAAATGATTTATTTTATAAAAATAAATAAATTTTTATAAAAATGATCAACAATACATTTTATAGCAAAATGATCAACAATGCATTTATAAACAAAATGACCAACAATATATTATAGCAAAATGAATAACAATACATTTTTAGAAAAATGATTTTATTATAAAAATGACCAACAATACATTTTATAAGAAATGACTGACAATACATTTTATAGCAAAATGATCAACAATTTATTTATAAAAATGAATTACATTTTATAGTTGAAACAAAAATACATTTTATAAAAATGATTTGCACATTTTATAGCAAAATGATCAACAATACATTTTATAGCAAAATTTCAACAATACATTTTATAGCAAAATGACCAACAATACATTTTATAGCAAAATGACCAACAATACATTTTATAGCAAAATGATCAACAATACATTTATAGCAAAATGATCAACAATGCATTTTATAGCAAAATGACAACAATACATTTTAGGATTGTGAAATGAAACAATGCAAATTTTAATAATATTAAAAAAAATGATCAACAATGCATATTATAACAAAATAAAAACAATACATTTTATAGCAAAATGATCAACAATGAATTTTATAGTAAAATGACCAATATTTTATAAAATTTAAAACATTTTATTAAAATGATCAAAATGCATATTATAGCAAAATGATCAACAATACAATTTTATGATCAAATATTTTTTTTTTTTAAAAAATGATCAACAATGCATTTTATACAAATGATCAACAATGCATTTTATAGCAAAATGATACAAAATACATTTTATAACAAATTGAACAATACATTTTAAGCAAAATGATAATGCATTTTATAGCAAAATGATCAATTATTTTTTTTATAGCAAAATTATCAAAAATGAATTTAATAGAAAATGAAAAATTTTTTTATAGCAAAATGATCAACAATGTATAAAATAGTATTAGATCAAATACATTTTATAATTAAATGATCATATTTTTATAGCAAAATTTTTTTTTTTTAAAATAAAATGATACATTTTATATTAAATGATAAATATGCATTTTAATAGTTAAAAAAATGATCAACAATAATTTTATAAAAAAACATTTATTATAAAATGATATACATTTTATAGCAAAATGATCAACAATTTTATAGCAAAATGATCAACAATACATTTATATTGATCAAAATGCATTTTATAGCAAAAAAATGAAAACATTTTACAAAAAATTTTATTATAAAATGATCAACAATACATTTTATTGTTGAAATTTTCAAAATACATATTATAGCAATTATCAACAATGAATTTATTTAAATGATTTTATAATTTTATAGCAAAATGAAACAATTGATTAT